GTTCCAAAAAAAAAAAAAACAAAACAAACAAACAAAAAAATAAGGGGCCAGCAGGTGGTGTGGTGGTTAGGGTGCTGGATGCCCACATGGCCAACCACAAGTTGAGTCCTGCATCTGGCGGCTTGCTTTCTCACTTTCCCTCTCTCTGTTGCTCGGTCTCACTCTGTCCCTCTCTGGTCAAATTAAAATATATAAATAAATAAATAAAGTTAAATAAAATAATTAAAAAATATTAATGTTGATGCCACATTCTGGGGGAGCTTGCTTAGAAACGCTGAGGATGACAAATGTATTCTCATTCCTATTTGGTAATTTGATTTCTCTTTATTAATTTCAGCTTATTGACTCACCTCAAAACCTGTAAAGATTTTGAAGTTGACAATCATATAAAAGATTTCGCTGCAAAACTGTCTTTAATACCTAGTCCACCGCCTGGACCACTCCATTTGGTAATTAATCCCGGAATTGTATTGTGGTTTTCCTTTGCAAATAGGGAACGTAATATATTGAAGATGGTGTCAATGTTTTAAGCTGTTAAGTTCTAGTTTTGTTTTAATTATGCTCCTCAAGGTCCTCCTGGAAGCATTTCATGCACTAGTTCTAAAGGCGTCAGGTTACATTTTCAGACGTGGCTGGCACATGGTACACGGAGCTGGTGGGAGGGGCTGCTTTGCGGTTACGCACACTCAGTTCTTGCTGTGCAGAAGACACACAGAAAGCCCGCTCCTTCAGCCTAAGATTTGCTTCGGTTATCAAGTTCCCTTTTGTTTCTTTGAGTCTCGAATACTGAAAATAGGGTACTGACATTAATTTGTTGGTGCCTTTTCCTGTGGAGTGTGTTTAAAGATAGGTCTCTTTTGCTACTTGGAGAAGTGCTACTCCGTTATTTGGTTCATCAGCAAACGTTCCCTGGAGTTGTTTCTATTCTGACACGCTATTGGCTGTTTCACTCAGCACCCCCAGGGCGAGGTGAGGGTGGAGGAGGTGCAGACTGCCTTCTCTTGTTTAAGCAAGGGCCACGGCTGTGGGGGTGAAGAAAGCCATCTGACTTTGCATTTTCCGAAAGAGCTTCACCACGCGTGGGGTGCTTCCTTTTTCTTTCTTCTTTTTTTAAAGATTTTTGTCATAGGGTGTGGGAGTCCAGCGCCTTAGCAGCACGCCCCCTCCTGACCCCCCTCCAGAGACACTTATTCAATTCTTGAAATGTTTAGATGATATCAAGTAAAGTTCACTTTAGTCTGGACCTTCTGGAAGATGATACATACAAATCTTGGTCCTGTACATTTTATGTTATTATCAACAATTAAAAATTAGGTTTGCTTGTCAGGAGACATGCGATCATGAAGTCTAATGTGGGTATGTTTTTAATTGCCAAGGGGTGTGTGTATTTGCAAGCACCCAGTGGGCATGGTCATGCTGCAGTGCCCTCTCCATTCCCCACCCCGATAGGGTCCGGAGTACAGCACACTCGTGCCCGGCACGTTGTCCAGGTCCACTCGTGACTTGGAGGCCACTGGCCCACCTGCTTCGTTTCATTTTCGGCCCCTCAGTTCATGCCCCTTGCTGTGTCTGCAGAGCTCATTGGCATGTACAAGTTGGGCTGGGATTCGACTCACCTGGTTAGCCACCAGGTCACGGGGCTGGGCCGTTAAACGTGTATTTCTGATCTTACTGGAGACCCAGCTGTCGTGGTGATATGCACGAGACAGCTGTCTTGGTGGTGTTCTCACCTCGGGTGCTTTCTGGGTCCAAACGGGATGTTTGTGAATTTCAGCCTCCACGGGATCGTTCTCCGACCTCACTGTGGAACTTGGCCCTTACAGGTGTTTAACATGAAGCCGCTGCAGGTCGTGTTCCCCCCACGAGCCGATCCTGACAGCCCCCTTGTAGACCTGGACCTTCACCTGCCCTTACTGTGCTTCAGGCCTGAGAAGGTGCTGCAGGTAAGTGTCCTTCCACACCTGAGCACACCTGCTGCTCACCCGCTCCATGGGGGCGTCAGGAATACTGGTCACTAGAGGGGACTGAAGTGCAAGGTTATTCTGCAGTGCACTCCAAATGTTTGTTGTTTATTTTTGCTTAAAGCAGACTTTCACCGTAGGGCCTGATATTCGTAAACAGCACGTTTTCATTGTGGAGTGTGCATGTACTTGCCAGAGAGGGGGGAAGCACCCTCCAGTGGCACGTGGCCATGCCTCAGCCCCTCCGGCTGCATTTCTTCATCCTGTCGGGATGTGGGGCGCATACACACATGCCCAAAGTATACTTCAGGCTGCTGGGGCTGGGTTCAACCGTGGTTGGCCACGTGTGTCCAGCTCCCTCTACCACCCGTCTGTGGCCGGCCTGTAAGTGGCACTCTTCGTGGGGCCCAGAGGCTTCCATTTTGGCAGGGAAGGGTGAGACCCCCTCCGCCCGCTTTGCCGGCACAGTGCGGTGCTCGCAAGTGTCGCCAGCCCCACCTGCTCGGAAGTGGCTCACGGCCTTGTGCTCTCCCCCAGATCCTGGCGTGCCTCTTGACGGAACAGCGGATCGTGCTCTTCTCCTCGGACTGGGCCCTGCTGACACTGGTGGCCGAGTGCCTCCTGGTCTACCTGCAGCCCCTGCAGTGGCAGCACACCTTCGTGCCCATTCTGTCGGGCCAGATGCTGGACTTCCTCATGGCGCCCACGTCTTTTCTCATGGGCTGCCACCTGGACCACTTCGAGGAGGTCAGCAAGGTTGGTACAGACACTGGCATTGAGGGGCTAACACTGCACGAGGGTGACGAGGTCTGAGGGGCCTGTGTCCGCCGTGAGTTCTGACGGGCTAACACTGCACGAGGAAGCAGCCCGTAGTGGGAGAGGGCGCCACCTCCTGTCAGGAGCCCTGGAGAGCTCGGGCCGCTGCGCCCACACACCGCGTCCCCCTCCTTCATCTCTGCAGACCCCAGATGCGTCAAGGGCACCGTGTTCCGAGCACCAGACGCCTTGTCACATCTCAGTCTCCTTAGGTTCTGCAGTGATGGTGCGGGGGGTGGTGTCAGTGGGTCCCATGGCTAGTCCAGACGTGGCCGTGGCTGTGGCCGCTAGCTGGTCCTGCAGCCAGGGCCAGTGACTCACCTCCGCCAAGCCTCAGCTTCGTCCTCGGTGAAGTGGGGTAAGGTCACGTCCCAGGGCAGGGATGAGCTGTGGAGCCCCACAGCCGCGTGGCGCTGGGTGTGGGAGATGGGACTCCACCGTCGTCCTCACTGCACGCTTCTGGTTTGCTTTTCTTTTAAATGGTGTCACTGCGTTGTCACCCTCCTGCCATAGGTCCCGAGTACCTGGAACCGCAGGAGTGTGCCGCCACAGACGACTGAGTGCCAGAAATCACATGGCCTCCACGCCTGGCACTCGGTGGGCGCCCCGGCTGGGCTGCTGATTTTTTTTTTTTTTTTTTTTTTCATATTTGCCAAAAGGCATGTGTGCTTGCTGGTGAGAGAGACGGAGTGAGCAAGCACTCCCTGTGGGGTATGGCCATGCCACAATCCCTTCTCCTCCATCTCTCCTTTGGGCACGCGCACACGTGCCCGTCACCCTAACCACCATGCCACCTGCTGGTGCCGGCTGGCCCTATTTAAGGTTTTATTCTGAGACTTTCTAAGCGTGCCATGAACAGGGAAGCAGGCAAGGTGCGTGTGCTCCTGCCCCCGCCCGTCTCAGCTGTGGCCGCTTCTGTCGCCCCGCAGCCCCGCAGCCTGCTTTCCTGGGGATTGGGAAGCAGATCCACGGCAGCACTTTCCCTGGCGTTCATACGGGGTGGGTGCCCCGGGGAGGAGCCGGCCAGTCCCTGAGTTCTTGCCAACGCGGTGATTCACCAGGGGAAAACGCGGTTCAGGAAAAGGCTGTTCAGACCTCCCTGGAAGGAACGGGAAAAACGTCACCAGTCCGCTTTGCAGACAAGAAGAAAGAGGCCACTAACGGTTCAGTGTTGTGTTGCTTTTTTTAGTCATAGGGGAAATAAATCATTTTTCAGACTCCTTAGAAGGGAAACTTTTTTGGCCTATTTACTTAAAGTTGCCTCTAGCAGGCAGGGAGGAAGCCTTTTCGTGACTTATCTGTTCCGGAAGATTTGGGAGAACCAGAAACTCCTGGGGAAGGTGGTTTTTTTAAAAATTTTAATTATTTACTTTCATTTACTATTTTAATATGGTTAAAAATCGCTATAGGACACATTCATTTACCAGAGAGAGAGAGAGAGAGTCAAGGAAAGCAAGAAAGCAAGCCACCAGGTCCAGGACTTGAACTGCAGTTGGCCATGTGGGAGTCCAGTGTCCTAATCACCAGGCCACCTGTTAGCCCCTGGGAAAGTAGTTTGGTTTGTGTGACTTTTTTTTAAGGTTTTTGCCATGTGCGTGGTTCAGAAATTGCTAGTATGTGGGTTATGTGGCCCAGGCCCTGCCCAGGGGTGGAGCTGGCTGGCAGTGAAGTGACACACCTGGTGTCAGCAGTTGGCGGGCACTCCCTGGAGTTCTGGAACATTCCTTCCACTAATACGTGCAGTGTGTTTCCCAGGGAAGGTGAAAACCTGACGGCGGCCTAGGTTGGAGTCTTGCCTCGGAGAAAGGCGTGTGTGGGGACAAGACGTCTGTCCGAGAGCCCATGGGGCACGGAAAGGGAGAGCCTTCACCAGGCCGTGACACTGTCGGCCTTGCGGACAGGTGCTCAGTGAGATAAGCCGGTACCCAGTGAACTGAGTGACTCCACTTTCGGGGTCCCTAGGGGAGTCTAACTCAAGGGGACGGAGAGCAGAGGGAGGCCGCCAGTGCCGCGCACAAGGGCTGGTGCTTTCGGTTTGGGAGGGTGACCCATCCCGGAGACCATGGCGGTGATGTGGGACTCACACCGCCCAGCTTCAGGGCAGTCGGGATGGCATTTGATGTTCCGTGGATTTTACGGCAGATAGGAAATGTAGGGGGCCCAGCTGTGCTGGCACGAGGCTGGGGAGGCCGGGGGCTGTTTCCCCGAGCCACCAGCAGAGGCCGGCCGTGGTGGCCCGCACTGGGGCCCAGTCAGCTGGGAGCCGGGGCAGGGCACCGTGATGTGCAAGGTCCTGGCAACAATACCCGTGGGCCCCCAGCCCCGTGGAAAGAGGGCAAGTCCGGGCAGTGTTGCCCGCGTCTTGTAGAGAGGTTACGACCTGCGGCGGGGACGGCTCCCTGTGAGCACGAGGTCCGTGTGCGCCCGAGAAGTTCCCATGCCGCCTTCACCGATTCCCTTACAGGAGGCCGACGGCCTGGTCCTGGTAAACATCGACCACGGCAGTGTCACCTGTTCCAAGTCCCTGGATGGCGACGTGGACATTCCTGACGTCCCTCTCCTGGCGGCACAGACGTTTATTCAGAGGTAATGGGAACCCGTGTGTGAGAACATCTGTTCACGTTCCGTTTGCCACTTTGACCGTGTTTTCTAATCCAAACGCTTGTGTGGCCCTACAGAACCAGGGGACGGTCACAGTCCTCGGGAAACCTCCGACCCTGTGCTGTGGCCTCTCAGTCCCTTCTTCCTTCACTCCTTCGCTCCTTCATTCGCTCGATAGGGATTGAATTCCCGCCACACACCCGGGACAGGGCAGGACCTCTGGGCTGAGGACAGCCATGGCCCTGTGCCATGACAGTCAGGCTGGCGTCCCATGGCCTGATCTGTTGTCCCTGAGTGACAAGTCATCTCTTCCTGTTCACGTCCCTGCGTCCGCTGGTGCCCCGACCTCGCGTGCTGTGTTCCCTAGCTGTCCTCTGATACAGGACTTCACTGGCCAAGATCAGGCCCCAGCAGACGGTGTTTAGGCCCTCTGCTCTCCGTCCCCTTGAGTTAGACTCCCCTTGCGCTGTGTGTGGGGAGAGGCGTGGCCGGCTACCTCTGCGAGTCCCTCCTGGGAGGGCGCGGACTGCAGCGGCTGCTCCGTCAGGCCAGGCGTGTGCGGGGCCTGCAGTGGCTGTTCCATGAGGCCGGGCATGTGCGGGGCCTGCAGTGGCTGTTCCGTCAGGCTGGGTGTGAGCGGGGGCTGTGGGGGCTGGGGCTGAGCAGTACGGGGGCAGCTTGGTTCCCTCTGCCGTGGCACTTAGTGAAATGGGTGGGGAAAACCTGCTTTTCAGCCCTCACTGTGGGGCGGGAGTTGGCTGCAGAGTGACAGCGCTGGACGGCCATGGGAGCCGAGTGGCAGATGTGGCCCTGCATGGGGCCTCTTTGCGGGGCCCCAGACTGCACGTGTGGCTGTTGAAGTCTGGGACGCACGCTGTGTTGGGGTGGGGCAGGCCTCTGCCCCTCTTGTCTCTTACTGGGAGGTCAGAGGAGAGCTGGCACCTGGGGAGTGGGCCAGTGAGGGCCGGGCCCACCCCCACAGGCCTGTCTGATTTCTGACCCTCCCCATTCTACGTGGGCCATCTCTGCAGACACCGGGAGGGCTGTGTCCACTCCCGCTCCTCACACCCGGAGGAGTGCGAGGGCCGCAGGCTGCACGTGGGGAGAAACGAAGGGCATTTGCTGTATTGGCGGGCGGAGCATGGCGCAGGGCTCCCCGCAGGGCCATGTACACCTGCGGCCTGTCCGACCCACCGGCCTGTGCTGTGCACAAGGGTTCACGCCACCAGGTCCAGGACTCACACCACAGTCGGCCATGTGGAAGTCCAGGGACGTAGCTGTTACGCCATCTGCTGGCCTCCAGCTCTGCATCCTTACGACCCTGCCCAGTTACCCAGCCTGCTATCGCCAGGCTCGGGGAGCACCCCAGGTGTGCCTGCGAGGGCGAGCCCCACACGGTGGTCCTGTGCTTCCTGGCAGGGTCCAGGGCCTGCGCCTGCACCATGAGCTGCACCTCGCTCACCTGAGCTCCAGCACAGACCTGCAGGAGGGCCGTGCCCGCAGACGCTCCTGGCAGCGGGACCTCAACGGCCAGGTCCAGCAGATTGTCCTGCAGCTGCTCGTCAGCATCTTCAGGTATGACCGCCGTCCGGCTCTGCACTGATGTCCCCAGCTCCAGGGCCCTGTGACAGTGGCCCCGCTCAGGCAGTAGGAATCAACCTCTGGGGGTACGTGCAGCCTGCCCGCCCCACCCTGTCCTGTCCTGCCCTGCCTTCTCTGGTGATTCCCGGTGGCTGGATTGGTGGAGCTCGGTCTCATTCCTCCCTGCCCATGCCCTCTAAGCTGCTCTGTCTCTCCTGCCCCGGACCCTGGGGTGTCATTTTCGAGGCGGCCCTCTAGAGGGACATGGCTCTGCTGACAGGCCGGCAGCCTGGTTGCGGCGGGGAGCCAGGATCTCAGCATGACCCTCGGGGTCCGGAGGACTCAGCCTCCCGGGGAGAACCACGTGCGACCAGGCCCTTGGGTCTGCCTGGCAGGAAGGCTCCTCCCCGGGCGCTCCTGCATAGACCGTCACGGGTTGTGAGTGCCGGGCTGCGCTGGCGGACTCAGTTCTGCAGCCCGGTGTGTGTTTGGTGGGTGGAGAGCAGGGTGGGAGAGCAGTGTCCTCGCCTGGTCTGGTGGCGAAGGCAGGTACTACTACCTGCCTGCCGAGCGTCTTTCCAGAGGGCTTTTGCTACAGGACGGGTGGATGGGCACCCTGCCGACCTGACAGTCCGTGTGGTTGTTTCAAAACATGTACTTATTGGGACCAGCAGTTAGCGTAATGGCTATGTCGCTGGACACCCACATAGTCGACTGCGGTTCATGTCCCAGACCCAGTGGCTTAAAACTCACTCCGGGCGCGTGTGCGTGCATGCCCAAGATCCCGAGAGGAGAATGGAGGAGAAGGGATTGCGGCGTAGCCATCCCCCCTGGGGGGTGATTTCTCGCTTTCTATCTCTGTCTCTGTCTGCTTGGCGAGCGCATGCACTCTATAGCAAAAACCTCTCCAAAAAAACCCAAAAAAACAACAAACAAACAAAAAAACCCATGTACTTATTTACACACGCAAAAGATTAGGAAATTATTAGGACAAAGCCCTGCTCCGAGTGGTGCGATCAGCATGGTCCTCGGTGTGCTGTTTCCCTTTTGCTCCGGGAAGATGAGGTCTTTCGTGAACAAGGTGGGCTTTGAGAGCTCTTCACGAGCTCGGTGAGCTGCTTGGAAAGCAGGCAGCATTGCAGGTGCCGAGACTGCACTTCCTGGGTGAGAGGAAGCCAGGCCTGAAACGCGGTCCTGAGTACACCCGTGAGGGGGAGGCGGTGCGTGGGCTGTCACTGTGGATCTGAGACCACACACCAGCATCCCATGGATTCATAGCGACACGAGGGAATCAGAGGTCACTCAGGGTGCCGGGCAGGCTGCTGGCAGAGAGGCTGCTCCTCCAGGGCCACCACCCTGTGCTCGAGGCCATCTGGGTTACCGTGATGGCTGCTGTCTTGGTTTGCAGAAGGAACTGGGCGGGGCTCCAGGAGCGGAGGGCCCGAGCTCTCTCCTGAGCTTCCTTCTCTTGGGTAATTGGAAAAATCGTGATGCGCTTTTGCATAGAAACATAGAAAGATACATCGTCTCTTTCTGACAGCCAATAGTTGGAGGGAAAAGTGAGGGTTTGGCCACAAAATGCTTGCGAACCGGATCACTGCGGGAGTCAGAAAACCTTCCTGAAGAAAGGGGCTTTTCTCATTGTTTTTCTTGTAATCACTTTTCTGTGTTCAAAAGCAGTATGTTCTACATGTATTTAAAATCAGTATGTTCTACATGTGTTTAAAAGTGTCTCAGCACTTAGGTCCCTTTTCTCTTTCTTAGGGAAGTGAAGAATCATTTAAATTATGAACACAGAGTATTTAATAGTGAAGAATTTCTCAAGTCAAGAGCTCCAGGAGACCAGCAGTTTTATAAACAGGTAAAGGGGTGGGGTTTGCACCGGTCTGTGTATGGTCAACACATTTCACTTTTCTGTATTTCAGTGTTTTTCAACATAAGTTTTTTTTTTTCTTTTTTAGAATTATTTTATTTAAATATATTTATTTATTTTTTAATTTGACCAGAGAGGGACAGAGTAAGATAGAGAGAAAGAGAGAAAGACGGAAAGTGAGAAAGCAAGCTGCCAGGTCTGGGATTTGAACCATGGTTGGCCATGTGGGAGTCCAATACCCTTAACCACCATGCCACCTGCTGGTCCCAAGATTTTTTTTTTTAGGAGTGATTTTTTTTTGCTATAGGGTGCATGCACTTGAGACAGAGAGAGAGAGAAAGTGAGAAATCACTTCCCAGCAGGGATGACCATGCCACAATCTCTTCTCCTCTTGTGATTTCGGGCCTGCATGCACACGCGCCTGGCGTGAGTTTTAAGTTACTGGGTCTGAGATTTGAACCACAGTCAACTAAGTAGGAGTCTAGCAATGTAACCATTATGCCATCTGCTGGGTCCCCAAAATAATTTTTTATTAAATGTATTAGGTTTTTTAAGAAGTTGGTTTTAGCCTGGTTCTTTTTGGTCATTTGGCCATCTCTTTAAAGTAGAGTTTACATACAATAAAATACACTCATTTTTAAAAAGGATTTGTTTCTTCTCTCTCTCTCTCTCTCTCTCTCTCTTTTTTTTTTTGTTAGCTTGCTGTAGGTGCCGTGTGCTCGCTGGGGGGAGAGAGAGAGAGCGAGCGAGCACACCCCCAGGGCAGATGGCTGTGTTGTAATCCCCTCTCCATTCCCTCTTAGGGTTTTGGGCACACATGCACACATGCCGACATGATTTTCAAGCCGCCAGGTCTGGGACTCAAACCGTGTAGTCGGCCATGTGAGATCCAGCTGCCTTAACCACCACACCGCCTTGTTAGCCCCGGTTCCGACAAATGTGGGTGCCTGTGTAACCACTTCCTCTCGGTGTGGTGCATCTCCTTTACCCGCAGCTCCTGGGCCCTTTCCAGACCGCCCCATCTCTTTGGGCCCAGCAGCCTCCGGTCTGTGCTTGTCCCCGTGGACAAGGTGTGAGGTCCTTGCCCTTGGGTGCATGACTGCATCCCACAGTGTGTTCCCTTTTATTGCTCGTGACAGTCCCTGGGGCCGAGCCCACGTGGCTGTCCCCAGGTAGTCAGCACCGGATGGTGCAGGCCTGCCTTCTGGGGCTCTGTTCTGTCTCTGCAGGGTCTCTGGGTCCTTTAGGGATTTGTTTCCACACGTGGGCTGGGTTGGGAGCAGCCTTTCTCGAGGGGTGGGTTATAGTGTAGCCCATCTGGTGAGTGATGCCTGGCCCTGCCGGTGCTGGTCAGGGAGCTGGACCCGGGCCTTCCAAGCAGTAGCGGTGTGCTGTCCGTGTGCTACTGTGGCGGGCCGTGACACTCACCTTTTCAGATGAGAGAGAGCCCATCGAGTGATGGAGCCACGCGGGGGCATCTTAGATGCAGACGGGACCCAGACAGAGTGCGTGGGCCGCGAGAGGCTGAGTGTTGGGGTCCAGGTCCCCGGGAGACGTGAGCATCTGTGTGTAAACAGACACTGCAGAGAGGCCGCCCAGAGGGCGAGGTGGCGTGGCTTTGGAGCGTCCGCTGAGTGTGCGAGTAGGGACGGCAGCTGGTTCTCTGCCGGGCTGGTGAGCCCTGCGGGGCGTTCTGGGAGTGCCAGCGCAGGCTGAGAACGCAGCCACTAGGAGCTTTTACCCCATGGAGCCGAGCTGCGGGGAGGTGGCGCGCTCCGCTGCCTGGGTCGGGGCCTGGGAGCTCAGCGGGGAGGTCTCTCTCAGCTCGTGTCTGTGTCTGTCAGATCCTGGACACCTACATGTTCCACTCCTTCCTGAAAGCGCGGCTCTCCAGGAGGATGGACGCCTTCGCTCAGATGGACCTCCGCACCCAGTCTGAAGAGGACAGGTAGTGGCCGTGCAGTGTGGGCGCGCTGCTTTGAGCAGATGGACAAGGGACACACTATTACTTGGCTGGCCAATGGCCAAGCCTACGGGAAGGGCCTTGGGCCGAGCAGTCCCTAACGTGCCGGCTTGCCGAGCTTCTTCCCCGCGTGTTTGGGTCATATGGGGCGGGGCACTTGAGCGTGCCGGCGTCAGGAGGCCCTGCGGTCTACACCGGGGTTTCGTTCCTGCGTTCTTCCCGTCCTCCCTCTTCCCACAGTCCTGGAAGCTTGTTCGGCTTTTCACGTGTGCCTCGGTGCTTTTCCAGACACCCCTCAAACACATCCCCTGGGGTGCGGTCTGCCCTCCACCCTTAGCGTTGCTGCCCTCTCCCCCTCTGGGAGAAGGGAGGGTCCTGGTCCCTGCGGGTGGTGGCGAGGCTCACTGCTGGCGCCCTCCCTGCAGGCTCAATGGGATGAACATAAGTCCACGGAGACCGACGGTGGAGAAGGTGACCTCGCGGAAGCCGTGGCCCCTGCACGCCGTGCACCGGCGCATGGTGGTCAGCATGCCCAACCTGCAGGACATCGCCATCCCTGAGCTGCTGCCCCGGAACGCGTCGCTGCGGATGCCGGGCTCCATGGAGCACACAGGCAGCGCAGGTGTGACCCCATCCCCGCGTGTCAGCCTCCGGCACCGCGAGGGGCTGGGGGAGCTACAGCTTATTTCAGAGGCAGGGCCGGGGCTTGTCTCCTGGTGGCCGGGGTGTCCGTAGCGTCCGAGTAGCCGTTTTGCAAACCTTGTCCATTGCAGGACGCTCTCTCCCCCACGCTTTCTTTCTCTTTTTGGTTTTTGTTTTCTCTTGTTTTTAGGCTTTTGCCATAGGTACATGCTCTCACTGGAGAGAGAGACAGAGAAAGGGAAAGTGAGAAGTCACCCCCAGGGGGGATGGACATACCACAGTTCCTTCTTCCCTGTTCTCCCTTGGGGGTTTTGGGAATGCACGCACACACGCCTGGTGTGTTTCAAATCACCAGCTCTGGGGCTCGAACCATGGTCTGCCATGTGGGAGTCCAGCATGGACTACTACACCACCTGCTGCTCCCTCTTTTTATTTTTAATTGCCAGAGGGCATGTGCATGTCACAGGGACGGAGCACCCGTAGGGTGTGGCCGCATGGCGATCTCTCCACCTCTCCACCTCGGGGGATCTGGTGCGCTCAGGCCTACACACGGTGTTTCTGAAGCCGCCAGGTCCAGGATTCTAACTGTGGTTCACTCCTAGGCTGTGGGGCTGGCCCTCCTGCCTGTGTCTTCTGTCACCCAAAGTCCCTGTTAGCGATTGCAGCTACCCACTCGGGTCGTTCAGAGGCGTGTGTTGTGGTCTGGGTGTGTGTGTGATATGTGTGTGTCAGCACTTTTACAAACACAGGTGAGTATCTCTTATCCAAAATGCTTAGGGTTGGTGTGCTTCTGGGGAATTTCTGCGTGTTCACATGCGGTGCCTTGGACAGGACCAAGTCCACACACCGAGCCCGCCCCTGCGTCCGTATTGTGGCGCTCTGGCCGTAGGTAGGTCACGGAAGGTCAGGTGCACAGTTCCCCCGAGGTGTCAGGCTGGTGCTCACAGAGTGGTGTAGAGGGCGGCATTTGGGATTGGGGTTCCTGTTCGTGGCGTCAGGCTGGCGCTCACAGAGGGTGGGGTTGCAGCATTCGGGATCTGGCTTTTAGGTCAGGACTACGCGGCTATGTGAGCGGGCAGTGAGCACAGTGACCCTTAGGCCCCGGGCGGGTGCTGGCGCTTTCTAGAGATGGGGTACCAAAGAGCCCCATGCCCTGCCCTCATGGAGCTGCCAGTCCAGGGGTGGAGACAGGCAGGCCCAGGGACACCCCTCGCGGCTTTGCCTGTGGAACCCCATTTAGCAGTGAGGCAGCGCACGCAGAAGCTCAGCTGTGCCCGTCTCCAGGGAGGCTCTGCCTGCCCACAGGGGGAGACACTGTGCTCGAGGCCCATGGGGCCTTGAGGCCACTGTCCCAGCTGCCCCTGGTGATGCGCAGGGAGCCCAGTGACACCAGGAGGGCTCTGGTAACGGGCCTCGAGTGCTCAGAATCTCCTGTTCTCTAACAGCCGCCGGGGTCTGGAGGCCGGCTGCGGTCCAGGTCCCCAGCTGCTTCCTCGCTGTGTGGCCCTCGGCAGGTTGCCTGACCTCTCTGGTCCTGCATCCCCTCTTCTGTGCAGCCTGTCAGCGTGCATGTGGTGGAGGCCTGTGCTTGGAACATCGCTGTCTCTGCCTCCAGGCCTCTGCCCTGGAGCTCCCCATTCGCTCTGGGCTCCTGGGGGAGGAGCCAGCCCTGGCCATACCTGTGGAAGGGCCAGGCGTGGCATGCACACCTGGTGGTGTTTGGCTCTGGCACTTGGCTGAGCCCTGGGACCAGGAGCCGAGCCGTGCGGCCTCAGGCCCACGTCTGTACCAGACTCTCCCCGAGTCGTGCATAAGGAAGGGACGATCCCTGTAATGAACTAAACAAGCCTGCCCCGTGCGTGGCTGCCTGCTGTTAGCTTAGCCCTTGGCACACGGTGCCAGCGGCTCTGACTAGTTTGAGCAGAGGCCATTACTCAGCGAGTGCTGGCTGCCCTCGCCCTCTGTTGGCAGAGAGCGAAATGAGGGGCCTCGTGCTCATCCTGGGGGTGCAGAACTTTCTGGAAGGTTTGTGCTGCTCTCCACAGCACGGCGTGGTGGGTGGCCCGGGGCCCGTTTCCAGCCTGCGCTGACGGCTGCTTGCTCCCCTCGGTTTCCAGCGCCAGCACCGGTCATGACCCCGCGGCCCATGTACACGTTCAGGGTTCCGGAAGTGCACTTCCCACTGCTGAGCCAGTGTGTCCAGGCTTACTACGCCGACTTGGCTGCACTGCTCAGCAAGGCCATGGGCTGCCTGGGCCCAGAGAACTCCCTGCTCCTGGCCAGGTATTTCTACCTGCGCGGGCTGGCCCACCTGATGCAGGGGCAGCTGCTGAGCGCGCTCTCGGACTTCCAGAACCTCTATAAGACAGACCTGCGCATTTTCCCTGCCGATCTGGTCAAGAGGACGGTGGAGTCCATGTCGGCCTCTGAGCGTGCACAGGCTGAGCGGACGCCGGAGCTCAAGAGGCTCCTTGGCGAGGTCCTGGACAAGCCGGGCGAAGCCCCGAGGGTGGACGACCACGTGAAGCACTTCGAGCTGCCCAGGAAGCACATGCAGCTGGAGGACTTCGTGAAAAGGGTGCAGGAGTCGGGCATCGTGAAGGACGCCCACATCATCCAGCGGCTGTTCGAGGCCCTGACTGTAGGTGAGGCTGCACCCGTGCATGTCCCCTGTGGGCGCAGCAGCGGGCGGGGGACTGTGGAAAGAGGCGAGGCTCCCTGCTCTGGGCCGTTGCCCCGGGCTTCCGTAGGGTGGTGGTGCCTTTGGGCTGCGTCCTTACCACCACGCTCTCACCTTCCCAGTCCTGATGTGAGTGCACTGTGCCCTCCAGCGCCTGTGGCTCGGCTTCTCTTGGGTTTGTGCCCAGGAGCCTGGCTTTGGGTTCGAGTGCTGTCATTCAGACCCTGTGGCCTAATTGCTCCCCAGTGAGCCAGGGACAACTGGGACCTGCCTCCTCGCCCTGGCAGTGTTGGGCTCTTGGTCTCAGTTTTTCTGAAGCGTGAAGAGTGTGCAGTGGCACTGCCCTTGTGGCTTCTGTGCGCGCGTGCACGCACCTTGCCAGGGAGAGGGGGAGGAGAAAGCCCCGCCTGAGGAGGGCCACTCCGCATTCCCTCCTCTGCCCCTCCCTGATCTTGGGACTTGGGGCACACTGTGCCTGTGCCTGTCCAGCTGCTGCTCTGGGACTGGGCCCACACCGTGGGCTGTGGGGATCCAGCCCCTTAGCCGCCAGGCCACTCCGACCCGTGCTGTCGGCTGTGGTGGGTCCTTGGCTAGGAACTGCAGTTTGCACTCCTTGCTAGTTTTAGTTTGCCATTTCCCGTTTTCTTGTGGACCGGAGGGGCTCTTTGGGTGCCGGGAAGGGCACCCTTTCCTGGTCACAGGCAGGGCAGTGCCTCTTCCCGATTACAGAGCGAACGCAGCAAGCCGTGTATTGCATCACTTTTGTGTCTGTGGCTCTGAGGGACAGACACAGCCACCTGTGTGCAGCCTGCCTGTGTTCCCTGGCAGGTCATCGGGTCACTGACGTGCCGCCCGCTGGCCTGGGTGAAAGTCAGGTCAGTCGCACACAGTGAGCACCTCTGTCCTGCATTCTGGGACTATGGAGAAGCACTGTCCTCCCCAGGCCAGGTGCAGAGGGTCCTGAGCAGCTGTGGAGTTGCAGGCGGGCCAGGCGTGCAGGAGCAGCTGTGCATCTGCGGGAGCCGGAGGTCCTCGCGGAACCTACCAGGACTCAGTGGGGCCTGGCATGGGCGAGGGCAAGGGCGTGATTCCAGGGGAAGCCTGCTCCCCTCCCTCCCTGCAGCCTTCTCAGGACACGGGCCCTGGCAGCTCAGCTACAAGGCCCGGAAGAGTGGCTGAACTCTGGGCTGCTGGCTCTCGGGTCACAGATCCACAGAGCAGGATGGCAGCTCTGGTGACTGCAGCCAGGCTCTGAGCCTCTGTCCCCCAGCATGGCCTCTCTGCCTGCAGTCATGGCCACCGGGGGACCTGGAGGAGGAAGGTCTGTCCCTCTCTTAAGGTGCCCCCTACACTGACTTGGCCTCCCTCTCATGGGGCAGATCGTAGCCCACAGCCACCTCCTGCAGGGAACTTCGAGGGTGCACCACACCGGCGTGGGCCCGTCTGCAGTCCCACATGGGGAGGGCGAAGGCTGGCTGGTGATGGTGCGTCCACTGGCCGCGCTGTCATTGCCTGTGCTTACGCTGCAGATTCAGTCAGGGAAGTCTTGATTCTGGGCCTTCTGGCCTGGTGTTCCTGGTGCAATGCGGCACGGATACACGGGCTGCCTGCGTCACCATGGGCTGGGAAGGCGAATGCTTGTGTAGAACGGGTCTGCCCGATTGCTGAAGACTGGCTGGTGATGGTGCGTCCACTGGCCGCGCTGTCATTGCCTGTGCTTACGCTGCAGATTCAGTCAGGGAAGTCTTGATTCTGGGCCTTCTGGCCTGGTGTTCCTGGTGCAATGCGGCACGGATACACGGGCTGCCTGCGTCACCATGGGCTGGGAAGGCGAATGCTTGTGTAGAACGGGTCTGCCCGATTGCAGTGCATCTGAGGTTTGGTTCGCTGAACTTCCAGTGTCCCCGTCACGTGTTTGACAGTCAGGCACAGAACGTCTGGTGTTAATGGTGCAGGACCCACGCCTGCCGTGTCATGGTAGCTTGCACGGTGGCGCTCTGCGGGGACGTGGGTGTGTGCGCAGCTCTTCCAGCCTAGCCCGGACAGTGACACCACTCCACACTAAGATGAGCCGGAGGGGTCCTGCTGGAGTGTGGTGACAGGAGGGAGGGGCCAGCAGTTTGTACAAAGCCGACACAGAAGAGGCGTGGGCGCCCGTCTGCGTGGGCCTGTGCTGCTTGTGCTGCTGTGTGTGTGGCTGCCGTGGGCTGCCTGGAGGTCAGGGGTGGCTTTCACAGTGGCTGTGGGTGTGACAGCGGTGACAACACGCACCCTCCAGGCCAGCTGTGACCCTGGCGGCGATGCCAGTGAGCTGGTGCACCAACCGGAGGGCTCAGTGAGTGCCTCCCTCTGGGTGTCCTCGTCTCACCGCTCTCCCTGGTGGCTCTTTCTGGGGACCTGAGCCCTGTCCCCAGAGCCTACTGGCTCCTCATGTCTGAGGCCAGGGCCGATGTCTGTGAGGGAAGCCATTTCGGTCCGGATGACATGTACCATGGCCCGGCTGCGGGGCGCTTTATCCTGAGGATGCACGGACTGGCTTTTGGGGCCCGGAACACTGCCATTCTGCAACCCTACGGCTCTCCAGGGCCTCCTCACGCCCCTGTCCTGCCTCCTGGACGTTCCCTTGCTGAGCT